TGCCTCTCGTTGGGATGATGTATGAACTCACTCTAAAGTTGCTTCTGAATCAATAAACTTATTATTATTCATAAAAAAAAATGATGTGTCCTTTCAACTAGTGCTATGCATCTTCATTTTTCTTAATATAAACACTTTTTATTAAAAATAAAGAAAATTGAGATTTTCCTTTCTCTTCTTCCTCCTCATCCCTCCTCCTTTTAAGGAGGCTTACGCCTCCTTGTGTTCGGGAGGCTTATGCTTCTTACGTTCTGAACTTTGCCTCATGCCTCTAGGTAGTGGAACACCTCGCGTCACGCCTCCGTGTTTTAAAACATTGCTTAGAATTGTGCAGTATTTGAAGGGAGCTCCAAGTCGCAGGTTGTTGTACAAGCCAAGAGGAAGTCTTGAAATAGTTGGCTATATAGATGCAAATTGGGCAAGTTTGGTGTCTGACAGGAGATCCACTACAGGGCCATGGCACACACTACATGTGAGTCAGTGTAAGAAGCAAACTTTTGTGAGTTAGTGTGGCGAGGCATAAAAAGCAAATTGTTGTGAGTTAGTTGGAGCAAATCTGGTGACATGGAAGAGTAAGAAGCAAACTATTGTGGCAAGTAGTGCTGAAGATGAATACAGGGCCATGGCACACACTACATTTGAGTTAGTGTTGTTGAAAAATCTTCTACAAGAAGTTGGATTCTCAATGAGCAAACTCATGAGACTGTACTATAATAACCAAATTGCAATTCACATCCCATCTAATCCAATTTTAGTGAGAGGACAAAACACATAGAGGTTGATTGACATTTTGTAAGGGAGAAAGTTCTTTTTGGAGTTATAAGCATAGAGCATGTGAGTTAAGGTGATCAATGGGAAAACTTGTTTACAAAAGGGTTGAGTTCAGGAAGAGTGAATTATATATGTAACACGCTGGGACTATATGACATATACTCTCCAGCTTGAGGGAAAGTGTTAGTCGGTTGAGTAGGGGTAGTTTTGTTTTTTTATCATATATTGAGTTGTGCTTTGTCAATTTAGTTTTATTTTAAGTTACATGTCCCATACTTAAGTAGGGGCATATTGGACATTGCAATTTGAATTGATAAGTATATATATTTGTGGTCGGCTGGGAGAGATCTAACTTCTCAGTTCAACAGTTTTCTCTTCTTCTTCTTCTTCTCTTCTTCCTTCTTTCCCTTTTCTCTGAACTGGAATCAACTGAACCATCAAAACAACGAAGATGTTTTGTATGGTGATAGTATTCTTCCAATGTAATCCTTGTGCATTTCCTGTTATCTGTTTGTACATCCTCTCATTAACTTCTTTTATTGAAATCTCGATTACCTTTTCTCAAAAAATAAAAATAAAAATCTTTGTCAAATAGTAGAGGTTCTTAGGATTGTGATACAAATATTTGATTACAGAAGCCAATTTGTTACAAGTGTAAAATATAGGAAGTTTTAAAAAGAGTTACTTTAGTTCCATGTACCTTCTGTGGACTGAGTCACTTCGAGTTGAAGCTCAATAGACGAACGCCCAACCCATATGACAGCACCAGCTATTTTCAAATCAGTGTCAACACGAATTGGTTTCTTCAGAACCATTTTATCAACTGATGCAGTTACCAATATGAGAGGCCTTGTTGTGCTATCATCATTGCAACAATGCTGATTCATAAAACATACAAGTAAATCAGGAAAAGGGATCCTTTCTACACCTTGCAGGATTTTCTACTTACATAAACAGCCAGTCATATCAAAAAACAAGAAAAAAAAACCATCCTGAGCCATGCAAATCCTGTTGTAAGGGCGTAGACAAGCCCAGGACCACAGGTATACCCAACCACAAGTGCAAAACAAGACATTCCGGATCTCCTACCCACAAAAGACACTACCACTGTCTATTGGGAACATCTCCCCATGAGTGACAGGGGAAATATTCCCAATGTGAGCCTGTAGTGTCCTGTGGGTAGGGATGTGGGAAGAGTTTGTGGGTAGGAGATCCGAGCTCAAAACATGATGCCATAGTTAATCTATCATGTGATATGAGGTTAATGGCAAAGAATGTTACAGGTGACAGGCATGCCTTCTCCCATAACAACCTGCACTGAGCTGGCATAGTTAATTGGAATATTCCTCTGGCAAGATCTTCCTGCATCTCAAGTTGTCATATTCTGCTCATGACACCCTACAGGGGGGTAACATCTATAAAAAGGCCAAAAAAGAATTTCATGGACAGATCTTAGAATTTCAGCAGTCCAGAACCTCAGGATTTCAGAGCTCTGGAACTCCAGATCTCCAACCCCTTCATGAAATCTGTTCTCTCTCCTCTTCCTTCTAATCTTCACTCCCCTAGACTGTCAGAACTTCACAGACCATCACCATAGGGCATAGATAAGCCCAGGACCACAGGTATACCTAACCACATGTGCAAAACACAATGCCACAGTTTTTTTTTTAAGATAAATAAAATAAAAAAGAAAGTTTATTAATGATAAAAGGTACAAATATCTTGGGTAACAAGGTGTCACCACCCAGCAATACAAAAGAGAAACATCAAGATAACCATACTAAAAGAGACCAAACGCAAAACCCACACAATAATTAAACTGACAAAGTAGACCAGAAATTCGAACCAAAATCTTCTTTTTTTCTGCCTTCAAATTCTGGAAGAATTAAAACCCAATCAACGAGCTTTGAGCTGATTGTTGCCAATAACTCATCTTTCCATAAAAAAATTCTTCTATTTCTTTCCTTCCACAACTCCCAACAAACAGCAAAAAGAGTGTAGCTCCAGAGAATTTTTACTATGATGTTCCCTGATAGCCTGTCACGCTTCAAAATATCTGCAGGCCTAACAGGAGACCAATCATCAATACTGAAAAGCTTGAAGAAAATATCCTGTAAACAGATGTTGTTTTTTCCTATGTATAGTACCGCAGGGGTACTATTGTACTTTTACTCCTTTTTATTTTAATTGCTGTCACCCTAGTATATATATTAAAAAATCTGCGCCGCCAGCAGTATCTTTATGCTCTCAGTTCTCTCTTGTCTCTCTTTTCTCTCCCATTCTTCTCTCCTGCATAACATGGCATCGGAGCGGGACTATCAGATCTGAAAGGAGAAGTCGAGTGAACAGTTTTTTTTCTTCTTCGCACCAGATTTCTAGATCTGCCACCCTCATCTGCTGTTCGGCTGATTGAAGATCTCACACACTGAAGTAACTTTTCTCTCTCTCTCTTACCTTTTTTTTTCTGGTCGTGTCAGGGCAGAACCTGTACTAGGTCTGCCGATTGGATGTGAGGTGATCAGCACCTCTTTCTTTCCTTTTTTGTGGGGTCGACTAATCCCTGTGAAACTGTAGGTCGTGAGGACCTTTTTGTGTGCTGCAACAGCAGCTTTTATGGTGAACTGTGGGTCAGAAAGTGACCAGTACTTGCTGTAACAGTCGTCCTGTTGATGCGTAGGTCAAGAGATGACCCGTATGCACTGTGGCAACGCTTGTGTTGAGTTTGTAAGTCAAGGGATGAGCTGTTAGTGCTGTAACAGCACTTGTGTTTTTTCAAAAGGTGTGTTTCTAAAGAAAAAATAATAATTTTCATTCCCCCTCAAGTGTTGAATTTCTTTAAGGCTGTGTACCCCATTTAAGAGTTGTTTTTGAATCTGAAATCATGAGTGGTGAAGATTCTGCTACATCTGGTGTTTCCTCAATGCTGAATGGAATGAGTGGGGGTGTGGACCTATCTTTTCCCATGACTGTTATTCCTCTTGATGGTTTAAATTATTTAGAGTGGTCA